TCAGTGAGATCTTGTTTTGAAAAACATAAAGTGTGTGTGTGTGTGTGTGTGTGTGCGTGTGTGTGTGTGTGGTAGAGCACAAAAAGTTTCTGCAACCATGGCCTCCTGTGGATTTATATATGTCTTGCAAATACCTTTTCCCACTCTGGGGCTTGTCATGATCTTCATGGTGTCTTTTTCTTTTTCTTTTTTTTTTTGAGATAGGGTTTCACTGTGCAGTTCAGGCTGGCCTTGAACTCACCATGTGGCCCAGGCTGGCCTCAAAACTCACAGTGATCCTCCTGCCTCAGCCTCCTGAGTGCTAGGATTACAGGTGTGTGCCACCACGCTCTTCATGGTGTATTGATGAATAGATATTACTAATTTTAAGGTAGTTGAGTTTATAAACTTTCCCTCTGTAGCTTTTTTTTTTTTTGCATCTTGTTGGAAAAGTCTTCCTGTAGTTAAGTCATAAAAACTGCTTCTTAGAGCTGTATTTGTTGCCTTTTGCAGATCTACAGTCCATTTGGTAACATGGGAAATGAGCCTGAGGTTTCATTTTTTCCGTTTGAATATTCAACTTACTGAAGACTCATTTCCTACTGCTGTGCAGTGCCACCTTTGTCATTAATCAAGTCTGTGTACACGTGAGTCTACTTCAAGGCTCCTTTTTCCGTTACATTGCCTATCTGCCTATCTTGTGACAGTGTCACACTATTTTAATTACTAGGGCTCTATTCTTAGTTTTGAAGCCTGAAAGCAAGGCTTCTCTCTTGTTATTCTTCACAAGTATCTTGGCTATTTTTGCTCTTCTGCATTTCCTTATACGCTTTAGAAGCAAATGGCCAAGTTTCACCCACTCCCTTCAGTTGCTTTTAAGATCGAGCTGCTTCGCATGCACACTAGGCTGGGGAGAACTGCATCTCTTAACAGTACTGAGCCTCTTACCCCAAACATGATACAGTCAGCCTTTCATTTATTTAGGCCTTGAAATTCTTTTTTAAATATTTTATAGAAAAAAAGAATTATTTCTAGCAATGGTGGACAAGTTTACTTTAAACTGACTTTCTCATTGAGAACAAGTAGAAAAAGCAAGCTAAAATGTAAAAAACACGTTTGAAGTCACTGGAGAACTATCAAAGCAGGGAATTTTTTCAGAGCCAAATGGAAGGGCAGGGAGCTTTGGTGCTCTTTTGTCTGTATGCTGTGTGGAAGGTGTAGCGGTTCTCAGACACATGGATAGGTGTGTTTTGTCAGTTTGGGGAGATTTTACCCATTCTCCCTTTAAGAGTTCACTCCTGTATGCTCCCAGTTCTCTCTGAGGCGCTCCCTCAGGTATATCCCCACCCTGCCTTGGATACTGGTCCTTTACTCTATTTCCCACTCCCGGGAAAGACGACTTCTGCAAAAACACATTATAGAATTTGACAAATTAGTTTTCATTCCATGAAGCATTTCTGAACCCATCTTTGACACTGGTAGTGGCAAACCCCAAGACCTTCATGCAACTTGGACATAGCAACCTTATCGTTCAAGGATACAGAGCAAAAGATGTGTTTTCCTAATCACAGCATTAAATGTTTAAGGTTATGCAGGCTGCACTATGCCAATCCTCAGTGCCAGATTCAGACAAGTACCTAAAAGCTCTTTTTTTTTTTTTTTTGGTTTTTCTCCGGTACCAGGAATCGAACTCACGACCTTGTGCTTGCCAGGCAGGAGCTGTGCCGCTGAGCTAAATCCCCAGCCCCTGTAAAAGCTCCTTGAAGGGATATAGCTCAGCAGCATAAGTGCCTGCCTGGCAAGCACAAGGTCCTGAGTTCAATTCCTGGTACGAATAAAAAATTATACTTTGGGCTGGGGATATAGCTCAGTGGCATAAGCGCCTGCCTGGCAAGCGCAAGGTCCTGATTCTCGGTACAAAAAAAAAAAAAGCTCTTTGATAAACGTGTGATTGTGACACGGAGGATCTCATCTTACTTACCAGGCTAGAAAGATATTTTCTCAGTCTCAACAGTATTGACGCTGAGGCAGGAGGATTGCCCCAAGTTCAAGGCCAGCCTGGGCTCAAGACCAGCCTGAATGACATAGTGAGACCATCTCAAAAAACAAAAACAAACCAAAACGAAACAGTTACTGGCAGTAAGATCAGGTAAGTCTGTGTGGGGTTCTTGTACAGATGTTGAGCAGCATCCCTGCCTTCTCTACCTTCTCTATAGCAATAGCACCTCTCAGTTGGAACAAAACAAAAAAATCTCTCTCAACACTGCCCAATATTCCCAGGGGAAAGGGAGCAAAAAATCACTCCTGGCTGAGAATCACTGGCCTAAGGATAATGCTCCAGGCCGGGTGGCACAGGCCTGTAATCCCAGCACTCGGGAGGCTGAGGCAGGAGGATCATTGTGAGTTTGAGACCAGCCTGGGCTACAAAGTGAGCTCAAGGCCAGCCTGAACTGCATAGGGAGACCCTGTGTCAAAAAGAAAATAAAAAAAGAAAAAAGAAAAAAAAGGATAATGCTCCAGATGAGAAAAGCCCTGATGGTTAAATTCTACTTGAAACTTAATACCAAGAACTAGTCAGCTGGACAAAAGTGTACCACCGGCAACCAGCAACATGGGTGATGTGTTGTATGGCTTCCTTTGGCTTTGGCTGCCTAGAAACTCAAAAGCCGAGTTTCATTTGGTAACTATGTGATGAACATCAACGTTCGGGGCTGATGTTTTATTTGTCATGTAACAATTCTTTTGGAAATGACATCGTTTGGAGAGACTGGCAGGATAAATGACACTGTACGGAACTTAACCTTAGGTGGCGACACCCTCGTACTGGTGACAGCTCGAGAATCCGTCGCGGTGGTACAAGTCAAGCTCTGCGAAGCAGCTTTGACAGTGGGCAGCAGCTGTAGGAAAGCACTGTTTGGTAGCGGGGGCATTCTTTGTGGACAGCACACAGGAAGTATTCCTTGATTTTTCCCGTCAGAAATAATTATGGGATGCTAAGAGTAAGACAGGGAGCTGACATTCTAAAAGCAAGTCAGCGGGGGTTTAGACATAGTAATCAGGGTGTTAAACTTAATGAGGAATTCAGTTTGGAGACAGAAGAGCGAAGTCACCTTTCTTCCCTTGGAAATCACCCAAAAGCCACAAAGAGAATGAGAAACAGATGTGCAAACTCCAGCTTCAACGAATCTAGAAGCTGAAACTCTTAACCCAAGTTGGGTAGACGAGTTGGAAAAATAGTTAATATCCAGTAAGGGCCCGGGAGGCAGCCCGCTTCTACGTGACGGGGATGGGCTGGTCTGTCTGCCAGGTGCGGCTGTCAGCAGGAATAGTCCTGTCAGCGGGCGGGGGTGAAGAGGAAACTGCGCTTTGAACAGCCCCGCAATGTCTGACCATGTTGGTTCACACACACATTGTTACGGTTTGTGTCTGCATGTCCCCCCAAATCCTCATGCAGTCCTGGGGCGGGCTTTTAGAGTTCTGATTGAGTGGGTGTGAGTGCTACACTGGCCTGGGCAGAGTCTGCACATGTAAGGGAAAGAGGCTTGCTCTTCCCGCGGCTCCTCCATCTTGTTCTTGTTGCTTTACTGTGTTCCACAGCCAGTCGCCCCGTCATGTGCCTCCCTGCCTTGGAGCCAGCCAAGTATGGACTGAAACCTCCACAAACTGTGAGCTAAATAAACCTCTCCTTCCTTAACTCTGGGCATCAGGTATTTTGTCTCAGCAACGGGACAAAAGCAAGCAAGACACACCCTCAGGTCAGGAAGAAAGTTCTGCTAGCCTGACCCCGCCTAACATGAAAAGCTCATGGGCATTTGGGAAGAATCTCATTTAAAGATAAGCATGCATTTTCCCATCTAGGAAAATGGCAGTTTCTTCTAAGAGCTCTTTTTTTTGAGCCATGGTCTCATTCTGTAGCCCAGGCTAGTCATGAATTTGCAGCAATCCTCCAGCTTCGCCTTCCAAGTGCTGCCATTATAGGTGTGTGCCACCACCCCTTGGCTAAGAGCTTCTTTTTGGCTCCTCTCATACTGGAGCCAATATAAACAGTTTCCTACAAATACTGTTGACTCTACTGTCAAAATATACCCACAATTGCTTTCTCACTACTCCTTCCTTTTCCACCCCAGTCCAAGCCCTGAGCTCCCTTAGAATACTGCCATAACCCCCATGATCCCTATTTTCAGGTGGCTCCCTATCATTCTTTTTAAGTACACCCGCCTAACTGCCCGTGTTCTCGTTCTTCCCAGAATAAAATTCAGAGTTCATCTTACGGCTGTAATGATCTCGTTCCTGCTCTTCAAACTCCTCTTGCAACCATCTGCTGTCCTTGGCTTATTCTCTGCTACATCACTGCCTCTCTTTCCCGTTTTAGTGTTTGTTACTATCCAACATGTACAACCGGTGTGTGTCTCTCCTCCCCCAGGAGAAGGGCCTCATTACGGCAGGGCCTGACCTTGTCCACTGCTGTCCTCCCCATGTGTAGAAGAGTGTATGGCCTGCAGCAGGCCTTCAGTATTTGTAGTTGACCAATCAATAAAAAAGAACCAGCATGAGCTCTGTATAACACTACTATGATGAAAGAGAAATAAATGGCAGATGAAGAACATTCATCAGGAATGCTGCCTCAACATATTTGAAAATTGTAATGAAAAATTTCAGGTTTTAATTTTAATGAAAGATTGATCTATAAAATAATAGCACACATCAGAAATGCAGCATATGATGGAAGCAAAGAATGAAATGTGAGCTAGAAGAACTAAGGGACAGAATTTAAAAATAAAATAATCATAAAAATGGAAGTAACATTGGAATGAGAATATACACTGCTTGAATCACAGGGAAACTAAACAGGGCTGAAAAAATAAAGAAAAATGACGTGGAGATAGCGGATACAATTGCGAGTTCCTAGAGGAGAAAATTCTATTTGTGTTTCTGCAGATGAAAGCACTGAGAAACCTTGCTCACATGAAAAAATGGTCAATAACAGGTTTTAGAAAATTCACTCAAGCCCCTGAAACCAGTGATTTTTCATCAAAATTTATTCTTTAATCAGCCAACAATTTAGTTCTCTACCAGTTCTGAGGGAAACCGCCTGTGTTAGTCTGCTTTCTACCATGGTAACAGAATGCATAGACTAATGGACAAAGAGCTCTGGGGGTGCAGCTCAGTGGGAGTGCTTGCCCAGCATGTTTAAGGTCTTAGGTTCAATACCCAGCACTGAAACAAATTTTTCTTACAGTTCTGGAGACTGGCAAGTCCAAGAGGATAGTGCCAGTAACTATTGGGGCTTCTGTGCTGTGTCATCCGTGGCAGAAGTTTGGGGACGGCTGAGAGGTCTTGCCTTTCCTTCCTCCAGTGGGAGAAAAGCTGTGAAAGAAGTAGTTTTAAGGCAGATCAGTTTGAGAGTAAGCACTCATGGACATACAAGCTTGGGAAATTCTCAGCTGAACTGTAGGAGTGTGCATATTCCACTGTGAAGACTACTGAGCAACAATGTCCAGTAGCGCTAACCAGTCAAAACCAAAAAGTATGTGAGTTTTGGGAAAATGAGTCTTTGATTCGGTGGAAGTAGCTTTTCAGTGTGGTATGTCAGAGGGGCGTAGAAGCCACACTGGGAGTGGAATAACGGAGGGACAGCAGTGAGGAAGTCTACAGTAACGGAAGGTAGCTATCAGCTGGCCGTGGTGGAGCCCATGTGTAAACCCAGCTACGGTGGAAGCTGAGGTAGGAGTAAAGGTTTGAAGCCAGCCCCAGAAAGATCCTGTTTCAAAAGTTAAAAAAAAAGGGCTGGAGATGTTACTCAGTGACAGAGTCCCCACTGGGTTCAATCCCCAGCACCACTGAAAATAAAAGAAAAAGAAACCAATTATTAAAATTGGAATACAGCAGGTATGGAGCAGACTGATTACAGGTGAAGCATATGGTACTTGAAGCTTCTTTTTTAATTGCACTGGGGATTGAGCCCATCAGCTTTCCACTGAGCTACATCCATTACTCCTTTTTAACATTTTTTATTTTTGAGAAACGATCTCACTGAAGTTACTAAGTTGCCAGGGCTGGCGTCGAACTTGCAGTTCTCCTGCCTCAGACTCCCTGAGTGCCAGAATTACAGGCATGTGCCACTGTTTTTTTAAGATGTAAAATACCGGAACAAATGCTAACAGAAAAGAGTCAAGATTATAGAAGAGGTTGAAGACTCCAAGGATAGTTAAGAGCATTAGGCTTACAAAGTACAAAGGATTAACAATCGCTAGCACTTATTAATCACATATAACCTGCACACTAAGCTTTTACCCAAGTCTCAATTTTTACCCAATTACCCAATTTTTTACCTAATTCTCACGGTGATACAAGGTAGTTACTACTGCTACTCTGATCGCACTGATGAGGAAAGGAATCGAAAGAGATCAAGCTGTGACCAAGGTCACCAAGGTGGTAGAGCTGGGGTAGGACTCAGGGCACAACGGACCAGTGGTCCACGGCTGAGGACCGGCTAGGTGCAAGTGCAGGGAATTAAGGGCTCTATTTTCTTATGTAAGAGAGACTTGATACTTAGCACTACATACAGAAAAGAAAACAAGTAAAAAAAAAAATTTAGAAAAAGTTGAGAACTTTCCCCTAATACTACAAGTGACACTGTACCTTGTCTCTGAAAACATTCTTTTCAATGAAGACATTTCAAGTATGGAAATTATTAACACATGGGAAAAGCTGCCTTTAAACTTCCCAAGTAATAGTGCTGGACTGTACAAGCACTACTTTCCTATCCTTCTCCCCAGTATTTCTTTAGCAGACATCAATACAACAGCCTAACACTGGGGTCCCCCCCACCAGCTGCTGGAGGTTGAACCTACGGCCTTTGCACTGAGCTACATCCCCAACATGTTTTTGTTCTTAAAGACAGGATCTCATTAAGTCACTAGGATGCTCAGGCTGGGGCTGAACCTATGTTCCTCCTGCCTGGGCTTCCGAGTGCTGGGATTATAGGGGCGTACCACCACGCCGCGCCCAGCTCGCCTTCTGTCCCGCAGTCCCCACTCGCTAAGGAAAGGTTCATGCATGAAAGACAGTTATGTTTAATGTGGTGCCTGACGCTAAGACATGTGGACCAACAGAACTCATCTTAATTTTAATCCTAAATTTTGTCAGTGTCCAGTAACATATGAATTAAAGCAAGAAAATCTCTAATGTGCAGTTTAAAGGAAATGGCCACCCAGTGTAGTTATTTTAGGTATTTCTATTTACATATTAAAAGCAAGGCGTGAACAATCATTTAAGTGATGAACTGATGAAAATACTTGTTCTGAAATGTTACTGGTCTCTCTCCTTCCATTATGAAACACAAACCAAGATTTCATTTTCTCATTAAATTAACTGTAATATGTAATCCTACAGGCTAGATATTTGAAAATCAATGGCTGAAATAAGACTGATTTGAAGGCATGGTGGCCTGTAATCCCAGTACTTGGAAGGCTGAGGCAGGTGGATTCCTGGGAGTTCAAGGCCAGTCTGAATTACATTGCAAGACCCTGTCCCAAAACACAAAAGGTTAAAAAAAAAATGTGTGGCCAAATTTCTTCAAAGCAGGTATTTGTTACATGATTTGCACATACTGTCTACCACCCAGACATGTATTTGAACCACAGAGAGCAGTACTTATTTTAACATGAGGCCGGGTGTGGTGGCGCACATCTGTAAACCCCCCCCTTGGGATGGTGAGGCAGGAAGATCACTGTGAGTTCCAGGCCAGCCTGAGCTACATAGTCCTTGTCTCAACCCCCTCCCCCAAAACAAATACCCCACATAAAAACCCAAAAACAATGTGAGGGATTAAAATATCTCGAACCTCAAGGGTCTAAAAGATGAAAAATATTGTAAGACACAATCTATAATCCAGAAGTCACCTGTTGTAGCTGCTGTACTCTAACACATTCTAAATTTAGAAATAATGTAGAGATTAAAGAAGAGTCCAACACACCAAACACATACTTAAGCATCTAGTTGTGTAACACTTTAGGTCACAAAAAAGTTTGACTCATGTCTTTGAACTTAATACTTCGAAATATTAAGACTTTGGAACCAAGTGTTCTAAAATAATGTATTTATGGTAACCCACGGTGCAAGTCCACTGCATCATGGTCAGGTGATTCTAATCTTACACCAACAGAAGCAGCAATAAAACTGCAAATTAATACTTCTCTTTAGTATTAATCAAAATAACAGCACTGAGATAAAAGCGTTTGTTTCAGCTTTGTGTTCACTGAGCCCATTCCTCATTTTTCAATAATGAGGATAAAGGTATCACAACAAAATATGGGAAACTGCTTTCTCTTTATTTAGACCTTAAGGAAAAAAAAATGAAATTTGGTCACATATTACTTAAAAAAAAATCCAGTTTTACATATTTCCAAGTAGATAGGACTAAATTACCAGAGAAATAATTTCTTCTGTAAAAATTGGCCAAATTTTATCAAAAATCTAACATACAGTATAATTCAAACTATATAAAGACTGTTTGGGATCATAACATTCCAAAAGTATGACAGCTGTACTTTCATCCTAATGGGTGTTAATATATTTGTTCTCATGTGACTTTGGTCCAAAAGAGAAGAGCTGAATCAGTAAGTATCTAGTCTTTTGCCAACAGTACTTTAGATTGTGACGGGTAACAGAAATATTCATGATAAGTAGTTCTACTTTAACAAAGTATAACTAAGGAATATTTTTCATGAACATCTCACAGTATCACATGAACTTTTGTAAGAGAAAAGTATGAAAGGAAAAATAAAGATGAAACAGCTACCACAAACAAAAAAGTATTCCCCCCAAATGTATCTGCAGGGGTACAAGGTGAGCTAGAGGGCTGATGATGCTGATATGAAAGGAAGTTGAGTACTGTATTTATTTCTTATTTTATACAACTCTTGCTCTTTACAAAAATGGTTATAGTCATGCCCATAAAAGTGTAACCCATGGCATCTGAAATCAAACACTTTGTAATTATTTAAAAGGGCCTTTTTAAAAATTATAATACAAAGGTCTGTGCTCTGTAAGCAGTCCTCCACTGTGCACTGTAACACTAAGGCTTACTTTTAATACAAAGGCTAAGTGTTTGGGAGTTATGAGCCGCTGGATTTAACAAACATCATTTTATAGTTGCCTTTTGCATCTTTTTTGGTTTTGGGATCTTCCACTTCATCAGGGTGCTCAGTAGCTTGGAGTTCCTCAGCAGATTCTTCTTTTTCTGACTCTGAATCACTTTCAGAATCATCTGGACTTTCGGGATCAGGTGAATCGTCATCATCGTCATCATCATCATCTGCTGCCACATCACCTTCTCCATCATGATCTTCTACCTGCAACACCAGTCAACAGGCTCTTCTTAAAACCACTCATATTAGCCAGTACACAACTGGGAAAGGGTGCTTGTGAGAATCTTAAAAAGGCCCAATGTTCTATTATGTCAGCAGTTTTAAGACTGCACTATAACCAGAGGCTGCTGAGGGAAGAACTCAGCACTGAGGATCAGGGATCTCCAGGGATGTAAGAAAGGAATCGGAAGACCACTCGTCTGTCTTCACTCTTGGTAGTTTGAAAATAATTTTATTTTCCCAAAACAGTATGTTTTACTAAGGAAAAAATTAAACAATTTTTATATAGAAATAAGTTCTCAACATTTTGTGTATTATGTGACTTTGGAGTAATCCGTAGTTATACATTTATTTATTAACATAAAAAGAGATCACTTAGGAAATGACTGAGAACTCAAGTAGTATTTTAAATTTGTGTATTTTATCTAACTTGTGAGCAGTTGTTTATGCCTCTGAAAGATGTACCATAATGATTAAGCAGAATTTACATCAGGCTGGTATTACAAAACAGTTTTAAATTCTTAAAAACATCTTTTCTGCTTGTCTAGAGAGATTCAGTTGGGCAATAAGAACATTTTAATTACCTCTATAAAGACAGCCTCCTGGGGCTGGGGATACAGCTCAGTGGCGTAAGTGCCTGCCTGGCAAGTGCAAGGTCGTGAGTTCTACCCCCAGTACCGCAAAAAAAAAAAAAAAAAAAAAGACAGCCTTCTGACATTAGGATTCTTGGTTGCTAGGGTAATCCAAAAGAAAGGATGTCACATTGAAATTGGTTATCCTCCCAATCTATAACAACAAGTTAGCCACTGGTTATCGTCCCAATCAATGAAAGCAAGTTAATCACTACCTCACTGAAGCCAAGTCCACAATGTCGTCGATATCTTCCTGATAATTTACTGTCCATACTCTGCTGATATTGAGACTCCAGTTCGTCATTAATTTTCTTGTCTTCTTCCCCTGCATGTCCATTTTACTTTGGTTATGTTTCAGTCAAATTAATAAAAACATTTGATTACACAAAAAAAACCCATTATACAGACGCTATTATATTCAGAGCTGAATTCTCTAAATGCAACTAATTTTACAATGAATTTTGTGTATCGTTATCTATAGCACAGTGGCTACCTAATAAACAATAATTAAAAGATGTATTTATGATTAGTTCTTTCAAAAATGAGCCTTTCACTACAACTGTAATGACTAGTCTGTGGTTTTGGGTTTTTTTTTTGCTATTGTTATTGTTTGGTTTTTGATGTTTTTTTGGGGGGGGGGCGCGTACTAGGAATATAACTCTGGACCTTACACTTGGCTAGGCAGGCGCTGTGCCACTGAGCTAAATCCCCAGCCCCGTTATTTAGTTTCTGAGACTTGCTATATAGTTCAGGCTGGCCTTGAACTCACTATGTAGTGCAGGCCAGTCTTGAACTTGAGATGATCTTTCTGCCTCAGCCTCCCCCATCCTGGGATTACAGGCATGCACCACCATGCTCAGCTATGACTCCTTTGACAGCTTTTTTCCAAGTCACCTAAAAAAAACCCTCCAATGAAAAAAACCATCTTAAAACAAAACAAAGCAAAACATCTATTTCTGAACAGAAATAGTGAGAAGGGCTGGATATGGTGGTGCACAACTGTAATTTCAGCATGCTGAGGTCAAATCTGAGGCTGTCCTGCACTACACAAGTTCAAGGCCAGCCTGAAGAGCAAGACTTTCTCTCAAACAAAAAGTGAAAAGATAGGCAATTCTGTTTAGTGAACGGCTAAATGAAAGTGACCTTGCAACAGCTCTCTTCTTTATGCCTCCTTGGATTATTATTTGCTAACTGAAGCAACGTAAACTTAAAAGGATTTTATTTCATCATGAAACAGGTATATATATTTAATATACATATATTCTGCTGCATGTAAGTGATGAAACAGACACCCACCCATGGACTTACTACTCCAGAACTAGAATTTTACCAACATGCCTGGAGTTTGCTGTGTATGTATAAACTTATATATGAGAAATTTCGAGTGTTAGTCACAAATGGTAAAGTATGTCAATCATTTTTATTCATAAAGTTCCTAAGGGTAAATGAAGGAGTTAAAATATTTTTTCATTATGCAATGCTCATTTTTTGCCTTATGTGGCAACATAAATCAATCTGAAACAAATTTTTAACGCTATCTAAACAAAAGACCTACTAATTTATAAAATGTGCTACACATACCAGATCAGTATGAAGTCAAATTATTTGGGTTCAATTTAGACTAGGAGATTATGCCATTATAATGACGTCAAAGATTAGTGCCTTTTTTTTTTTTTGGTGGTACTGGGGATTGAACTCTGGACCTTGTGCATACTAGGCAAGCACTCCATCACTGAGTTACATGCCCAGCCCATAGTTCCAATTTTTAGCAGGTTAAAATTTTAATTTTTAACAGACCCAAATTAAAATTAAAATTCATTTTCAGGTTTTATTAAAAAGTTTCCCCCTAAAATTAAAAAAAGGAAATGTTTACTTCTTCAGACTCCACAGCCTATTTCTTTCTTCAAAGCTTTCAGAATAAGACAGTGAGTAAACTAAAAAAAGTGTAATAAGCCAAGTATCATATATACTAAAAAATCTGTACAAAGAAAAAGGTCTAAAATAAAAATGATTTAAAAAGGAAGATAAAATCTATACATATCTCATTAGGCAACATGAAGGATAAAACCTTACTCTAATTAAAATATCCATTCTGAATTAGTAACCGTGAAATCAGAAAAGAACTACTATTTTGGTCAGAATATCACATGTACATATCACAGGATCTCTAATCTTCTCAGCACCAGGGACCAGTTTCAGAGTGTAATTTTTCCATTGACACAGGGGTACAGAAGGTGACTGCAGGACGGTCCAAGCATACTACATTCTATTATTATTATTATACTATACTATAATATATAATGAAATAATTAGATAACTCATCACAATACAGAATCAGTAGAAACCCTGAGTTTGTTCTGAGTAGACAGCATTCGGGGGTGACGTGACACACGGACAGCCGAAGTCTGTTACTGTGTCCAGTCTACCCCAAAATCGGGTTTTGGTTGCTGTCACTGCAGAAAACCCTGCTTCACAAAGGTAGGATTTTGGAAGTAGAAGCTACAGTGCTTCTGCAGCAAACCCCGGACATTCCGCTGGGTTGACCTTAATCCAGAATGTGAAGATTTGAAGTGGTCTCAGATGTACTTTTTAAGGCAATTGTCATTTGAGATCTAAGGAATTGTAATCCTCTTCTAACAGACAAAATCCATTATCCTGGCTTACTGACAAATGGCTCAGGACCCACGCCTTCCCAGTTGGGCAGGGGGCTCTTCTGTGGTTGGCGGATAACGTTCAAACTCTTGAAAGCTGGGATAGACAGTCATGCACTGAGAGCTGAGAGAAAGACCGCCCTGGCTCAGTCTCCTTCAAAAATCTCTGCTAATGTTTGGGGTTTTTTTGTTTTTAATTTTTTTTCCAGTACTGGGAATGGAACTCATGACCTTGCGCTTGCCAGGCAGGACCTGTGCCACTGAGCTAAATTCCCAGCCCCTCTGCTAATGTCTGAAACATGCCAGAAATCCCAGTGTTTACTTATCACCCCCTTAGTACCAGTTTGGCTTGGAATACAACCACTTTATCGGCCAACTTGAACACAGTTGTCTCCTAACATGACAGACTGAGCTTGTTGGGCAGGGTGGATATGTCACACAAGTAAGCAAGTTTTGGAATCCTTTTATGTCTTTGAAATGTACTGCCAGTGGTGATCGTTTTTCAAAAAGACATCTCTGGAGTGGCTTTCATAACTCATGAAATCTGGCTACCTTGCTTCTGTGTATAAGAGAAGACGTGTGCGTGTTGTGTGAACAGACATGAGTTAAGGATATGTACTTTAATGACATGTTGCACATGTTAAGTTCAGGTGCCATTTTTCTGTTACCCTCCATTCCTCTTGGGTGACACAGTGCGCAGACTCGATTTCAGAAGTGACCCCTTTGACCCTAATGGTGAAACTGGAAAGCCGTCCCACTGTGACACCGGCTCAATCTATACATATACTGACACAGAACGACCAATTCACTTTTCTTGATGTGTTATCAAGAAACTTGTATGCTGTGCAGCCAAAGCGCACATAACACCCCCTTGTGCACATCCTCCTGAAAGTTAACACAAAAACAAGCATTGTCGCCTCGTTGTCAGCATCGGTGATCTCGTCAACCTGGCTGGACTCCAGTGTGCCCCAGTGGCCTCTGCTGTTTCCTCAGTTCATCTCACTGTGGTGCTGGGTGGAAGAGGAACGTGTGTCACCTTTTGAACTACAGCTTCTCTGGTCGCTTCAGAAGCACATCTACTGAAACTGAGCTACAGCTTCTCCTGACAGCTCACGGCAGATGTCCTTGTCAGCAGGCAGGATCAGCTCTTCCAACAGCAAAGGGCTGCTTCGCTTTAGCAGCGCATGAGCCCCTGAGAATGATGCTCTCAGTGCAAGACACTTTGGGTGAAGTGCTGGCCTTTGACAACTGCTTCTGTTCAGTGTGTTTGCATTGTTTTCTTTTGAAAAACTCCAAAGGCCTGTCTTCTGACGCGCGGTGCTTGTTCTTCCTGTGGAGACGGTTTCATGCGTTGGGTAGCTGGTCACCACACACTATACAAAGTGGGCTTGGAGGATGTGAGTCACCTGTTGCAATGAACCCGTAATTTAAGTGGGACTCTCGGTATTTTTCTTTTTAATCATGAGTTCCCAACCCCCAGGCCACAGACTAGTACTGAGTATGCATGGCCTGTTATAAACTGGGCCACCCAGCAGGAAGTAATGGCCAATTGAGAAAGGGTTCAATTATCTTTACAGCAGCTCCTCATTATCTGCATTATCACCTGAGCGCCACCTCCTGTCAGATCAGCAATGGCATTACACTCTCATAGGGCCACGAACCCTACTTTAACTGCATACATGAGGGATCAAAGTTGTGTATTGCTCGTGAGAATCTAATGCCTGATACTGTGAGGTGGTGCTGAGCTGGTAATGCTAGTGTGGGAGAGTGACTGCAAATACAGATTAACATTAGCAGAGAAGTTTGACTGCAGAGACCAAAATAAACCAATTGCTTGCAAACTCTTCTAAAACCACGAGGGAGTGACGAGTGACCAGGAAGCACTATCTGGTGGCAGACTTTACAGAAGCAAGTAAGTCGATGCATTTCAACTACACAGCTGCACGTGGTGGCAGGCTTTATGTCAGAATGTGACACCTATTTTAGTCTATAGGTGACCCACCCATTTCATTTACCACTTTCGTCCCTGCTTCTTTCCTGCACTATTTTTTTTTTTTCAGGAACAGTTTTGGTAAGCAAACCTCAGCCAAAATAAGTAAAAACAAATGTCATGGTAGAGTTTTCTTGGAAAAAGGGGAAAGACCTAGTGATACAGCAGAGGACTCTAGGAGCACCAACAAAAGAGGGAGCAATTGAAAGAAAAATACCAGGAGTCCCACTTAAATTACGGGTTCATTGCAACAGGTGACTCACATCCTCCAAGCCCACTTTGTATAGTGTGTGGTGACCAGCTACCCAACGCATGAAACCGTCTCCACAGGAAGAACAAGCACCGCGCGTCAGAAGACAGGCCTTTGGAGTTTTTCAAAAGAAAACAATGCAAACACACTGAACAGAAGCAGTTGTCAAAGGCCAGCACTTCACCCAAAGTGTCTTGCACTGAGAGCATCATTCTCAGGGGCTCATGCGCTGCTAAAGCGAAGCAGCCCTTTGCTGTTGGAAGAGCTGATCCTGCCTGCTGACAAGGACATCTGCCGTGAGCTGTCAGGAGAAGCTGTAGCTCAGTTTCAGTAGATGTGCTTCTGAAGCGACCAGAGAAGCTGTAGTTCAAAAGGTGACACACGTTCCTCTTCCACCCAGCACCACAGTGAGATGAACTGAGGAAACAGCAGAGGCCACTGGGGCACACTGGAGTCCAGCCAGGTTGACGAGATCACCGATGCTGACAACGAGGCGACAATGCTTGTTTTTGTGTTAACTTTCAGGAGGATGTGCACAAGGGGGTGTTATGTGCGCTTTGGCTGCACAGCATACAAGTTTCTTGATAACACATCAAGAAAAGTGAATTGGTCGTTCTGTGTCAGTATATGTATAGATTGAGCCGGTGTCACAGTGGGACGGCTTTCCAGTTTCACCATTAGGGTCAAAGGGGTCACTTCTGAAATCGAGTCTGCGCACTGTGTCACCCAAGAGGAATGGAGGGTAACAGAAAAATGGCACCTGAACTTAACATGTGCAATATGTCATTAAAGTACATATCCTTAACTCATGTCTGTTCACACAACACGCACATGTCTTCTCTTATACACAGAAGCAAGGTAGCCAGATTTCATGAGTTATGAAAGCCACTCCAGAGATGCATTTTTGAAAAACGATCACCACTGGCAGTACATTTCAAAGACATAAAAGGATCCCAAAATTTGCTTGCTTGTGTGACATATCCACCCTGCCCAACAAGCTCAGTCTGTCATGTTAGGAGACAACTGTGTTCAAGTTGGCCGATAAAGTGGTTGTATTCCAAGCCAAACTGGTACTAAGGGGGTGATAAGTAAACATTGGGATTTCTGGCATGTTTCAAACAGTAGCAGAGATATTTGAAGGAGACTGAGCCAGGGCCGTCTTTCTCTCAGCTGTCAGTCCATGATCATCTATCCCAGCTTTCAAGAGTTTGAACGTTATCCGCCAACCACAGAAGAGCCCCCTGCCCAACTGGGAAGGCGTGGGTCCTGAGCCATTTGTCAGTAAGCCAGGATAATGGATTTTGTCTGTTAGAAGAGGATTACAATTCCTTAGATCTCAAATGACAATTGCCTTAAAAAGTACATCTGAGACCACTTCAAATCTTCACATTCTGGATTAAGGTCAACCCAGCGGAATGTCCGGGGTTTGCTGCAGAAGCACTGTAGCTTCTACTTCCAAAATCCTACCTTTAGGGGCTGGGGATTTAGCTCAGCGGCAAAGCGCCTGCCTGGCAAGCGCAAGGTCGTGAGTTCGGTTCCCGGTGCCGGAGAAAAACCAAAAAAAAAAAAAACAAAAAAAACCCCAAATCCTACCTTTGTGAAGCAGGGTTTTCTGCAGTGACAGCAACCAAAACCAGATTTTGGGGTAGACTGGACACAGTAACAGACTTCGGCTGTCTGTGTATCACGTCACCCCTGAATGGTGGTCTATTCAAAACAAACTCGGGGTTTCCACTGACTGTGCACTGTGCTGAATTTTCTAATTATTTAACTATTTACTCTAATGCAATACAATGGAAATATAGTGCACAATAAATATAACGTGCTTCAAGCATCCCCCACTCCCACTCTGAAGAAAATTATCTTCCATTAACTTTTGCCTGGTGCCAAAATGCTGGCAATTACTGCTTTAAATTTTTTTTGGTGACAGTCTTAAAGTCTTGTGCTGCTTCTTTGCTTCCTGCTCCCATTTGAAAGGAAACTTCCTAGTGACATTTGTTTTTTACTCAGTTTGGCTAGGTTCAGGCTGTGTACTTACGAAAACTGTGGAGAAGTGTGCAGTGTGGGAAAGAGACAAGGACGGAAGTAGTAATTGCAGTAGTGGGTGCGTCCTGTACAGACTGAAGTATGTGTCAGATTCTGACTTAAAGGCCTACCACCAGATGTAACTGTACAATTGAAGTACATCAACTTAACGGCCAGTATACAGCCTGCCACCAGATGTAGCTTGCCACTCGTTCATAAGATTTTCAGAAGAGTCTGCAAGCAACTGATTCGTTATGGTCTCTGTGCAATCAAACCTCTGCTAATGTTAATCTGTATTTGCAGTAGCTTTCCAACACTGGCACTACCACCTCAGCCCCACCTCAGATTATCAGGCATTGGATTCTCGTAGGAATACGCAACTTTAATCCCTCATGGGTGCAGTTACCAGTAGGGTTCGTGGTCCTATGAGAATGTAATGCCATTGCTGATCTGACAGGAAGTGGAGGCTCCGGTGGTAATGGGAAGGGTGGGGAGCTGCTGTAGATCAGCCTCTGGTCAGTCTCCTGCCACTCACCCCCTGCTGTGTTGCCCTGTGGCTACCAGGCCACGGACTGGTAGTGGTATTAGTCTGTGTTCTGGGGACTGGGAACCCATGACATACAGGATATATACCCTCCTACCCTTTCTAATCAGAATACATAAAATTTGATACTCTATATGATATATATTATATACATGTATTATATACATATCTATCTATATGACACATATAACATGTTTTTATATAGTTAATTTTCAATGCTAATACTTTAATGACTAATACAACTCTATATAGAGGAATATTCCAAAATATGTACAAGGATTTCATTTATCAAATTTAGCACCTCCATTTTAATTGTATTTTACTTTCTTACCTGTTCGGAAATGTGATGTTGATTTGTGATCTCCTATAACAAGACGACCAGTGTGTTCCTTCTATAAGATAGAAAATATCAGAATTGAGACTATTAATTTAACTACTCATTATCAACTATAAACTAGTCTAGGCTTCTGGATACAATGAAGAAAAGCAAATAAATAGATCCTCACCTTTATAAACCTTACATAGAGATGGGGAAGGGAAACAGACAGACATAAATATACAAATTATAGCATAGTAGAAGTAACAAGCGCCATTAAAACCACACAGAGCAGAATAAGGGGTTAAGGTATAAAGTAGGGGTAGAGATCAGATCAGAACTTTTTTATTTTAGACAGGGTCTTGCTATGTAGCCCAGGCTGGCCTTGAACTTGCAGCAATCCTCCTGCCTCAGACTCCTAAGTGCTGGGACTACAGGCAAGCCCACCACGCCCGACCCAGAGCACAATTTTAAAGGAGACGGACAGATAACTAGAAAATTAAGTCAACCTAAGCATGTTCTTTCCTAAAGGTCCAGTTATATGAGTCGCTTTACATTTCCTCCCATTACTTTCCCATGCCTTAGGACTTTCATAGACAGTAAACAGATTATTTAGGTAGATAAAATGAAATAATTAAGAGACTTATATTGTACAAAGTGATACTTTTTTAAAATAAAAAATAAAATCATTATTACTTTTTTGGGTGTTTTGAGACAAGGTCTCATTCTATAGGGCTGGCTTTGAATTCATTACTATAGCACAAGCCGACCTCAAATTTGTGACCCTCCTGTCTCAGCCTCCCAGGACTATGAGTGTGTGCCACTATGCCCAGCTTAAAAATAATTATTATTTACAATATGTTGCAACCAAGTAGCTCACTCTTTACTATCAGACTATAATAAACTAATCCCAACTTGTTAGAACAAAATTTAAAACAATCCAATATTATAAAATATAAAAATAATCTTATTCAAAGTAACAAAAATTGATCAAATACATGTATGTATATAAACCCGGTCTCAATTTATCAGTCTAGTCTGCGCTTGTGTGTGGTACTGGGTACCTTGTACGTGCTAGGCACGCACTCTTTATTTCTGAGCTATATCCCCAATCCTTTTAAAATTTTAAGTGAAGGTCCCATTAACTTGCTTAGTCTGGCCTCAAACTTGCAATCCTCCTGCCTCTGCTGCCTGAGATGCTGGGATTATAGGTAGGTACCACTGAGTCCCGCCGTCCAGTCCACGCTTAATGGTTCATACTTAGTTTCACAGGGTGGAGAAATAAATTATTCATTAAAACAGACTGAAAGCTTAAACAAGATTTTCTTTGCAAGGCAATCTTAACCAATTATCTGTGAATATATACTAGCAAACCTTCCTATTTCCTATTGTGAAACGATGGCCAAGTATGATGCTACTTGAAAACTTGAAGCATATTAGTACTTTAAATGCCTTTAACACTTAAGCAAATCAATGGTACAGTGTACTACCACTTTACAATGTAAGACAAATACTCCATTAATAAAATCTGAATGTAAATATAATGGCATCAAGTTATTCTAGGATGAGGATAACCAATAAAATATTCAAGCTAGCTGGTGAAGGTCAGGAATATACTTTGTAGCTACAAAACAGATTAAATATCCCAAGTTGGGTGTGGTGGCCCACACCTATACTCCCAGTACTCTCGAAGGCTGAAGCAGGAGGATGTTGAGTCTAGCATGTTTGAGTCTAGCCTGGGCAACTTAATGAGAACTCATCTCAAAATAAAAAATGGGTTAGGGATGTAACTTAGTGCAAATGTCCTGGATTCAATACCCAGTCCTGTAAAAAATTATAGAAATGCTTTCTTTATGTAAGTCTTTATATTTTACATGACCTTTCCCTACCTTCAACTCCACTGGTATAATCTAAGTTTTCATTCTTTCAGATTCAAATCAATTTTGGATTCAGATCCATTTTAGCGCTGGGAAGCTATTTTGAACTGCTAAGCCAGAGTTAGCTGTCCTCTTATGATTCCACAGCATTATGTGCATGGCTCTTCCATAGCAATTATAATTCTGAACCGTTACTGTATTTCCTCCATCACATGATGGCTCCAAACATAGGTTATTGATCTGTGATCCCCAGGACCTCATATAGTGCCTGGCATATAGCAGATAATCAGTAATTGTTGGTAAGATGCATGAATGTATTCCCATATATAATAAAAACAAATGGCTGAATTTCATTTTAAGGTGGCTTAAAAAGAAAGAAAGCTTCCCAGGCTGAGACAGAAGGGCTGCAAGTTTGAGCCCAGCCTGGGTAACTTAGCAACTCAGTAAGATTCTGTCTCAAACAAAAAGCGGGGGAGGGACTTGGGATGTAGTTCAACTTGGAGGCCTTGGGTTCAATCAGGGCTTTTAAGCAAATAAATGAACCGAAATTTTGAAGATTTCTTAAAATTCTATTTCTCTCAAATTTACTTTGTAGGAAGATTACTGTGAAAATGTTATGAAAATAAGGTTACTTGCTCATAAAAAAAATGTCCAGAAATAACTGTACAGAGACTATTGCATTTGTGTGTAAAAATTAACTACAAGGAAAAAGGAAGGATTTTCATCAACTGGTAGCTTCAAGGGACTTGCATTTTATACTTTATGTTAATTAAACTAAAAGGCATTTCAAAAACACATTATAATATTCTTAAAATTAGGTCTTTACATAAAAAAATAGTTCTTGGTTTCTAATTCAAGGCCTGAATAGAGCTATGAAGTACAACAGATTTTTGATATCGGTTCCTACAAAGTAACTGCACAGAAATAGCTTCTACCAAAATCACCAGGCTAACAGCAAATCATAAACTTTCATATCTCTTTTCTCTAAACTGTCTCCAACCTTAGTATTAAAGGCACTGAGAATTCTAGAAGCAGTTCAGAAATAGTACAAATTTTAAGCACGAAGTTAGGCTGGTTGTACTTCATAAAGAAATCATACCAAACAGGAAAACGTGCTTCCAATGTATTTAGTCTTTATGATTTCACATACACATGAAAAGCATTCTTTTCATATAAAAAAATACGAGGTGCATACCAATGACGCTTACCTTTCCTGCACCCATAAGTCTGAGGAACTTTTGTTTTCTCTCTTCACTGCCCAAGTCTGCTGCCTCCCAATTGCTAGATCCAAGCTGGAAGAGAAATTGTTATTATTATTTTTTTGCATAAAAATAAGTACTGAAACATTTAAAGTTTACCTATAATTCCAAGTTTCTTTTGTCAGTTTTAACTATTAACAGGGTTCATTATTCTTGCCTAATCTAAGCATATACTTCACACTCAAATTCAAATATACTCCTTTTCTATTACCTCATGGTAGAGCACTTCTTTTCCAACAGAGCTCTGGGTCTCAAAAATCGCCATGAATCAGAGTCACCTAGTGGCTGGTCTGTACCCCCAGAGTTTCAGTATCAGGACTGGAATTGCTAGCAAATCCCTAAACAATGCTGATGCAGTGGAGACCACAACTTAATTCCCACTCCTAGAGCTTTCTGAAGGGACCTACTGCACCCAGTACTCTGAACCAAGAAGGCTGCCACAACTGCTAGTTTAAATTTTAAAAATTCTGGCTTTAGTGATATCCTAAGGGACGGCATATAATTAGATCTACTGAACCCAATTGTAATCTTTCAGTTCCTTTTCAGCAATTCTGTTAGAACTGAAATACCGTAAGTTTCCTAAAAGTCTTCCAAAGAACAAAGAGAAAATTTCTTTTCTAAAAGGATAGAGACTAAGATTCATTTTATTTTGTTTTGTTTTTTTTTTGGTTTTTCTCCGGTATGGGGAACCGAACTCACGACCTTGCGCTTGCCAGGCAGGCTCTTTGCCGCTGAGCTAAATCCCTAGCCCCTCATTTTATTTTGTAATCACCAATAGGCTCACTGGACCCTTTCATAAATCTAAATAATATTATGGAATTCCAGTGACTATATTTTCCCCTGTATCTTGAAACAAATGTACAAATTAGTTCATTAGAATTCATCAATTATTCCAAGCAAGCTAAAAATGACTAAAACAGTAAGCAACTAGAATGCTGGAAGACCTTTCACATTGTATCTCAAGTATATATTGTATCATATTTCAAGAAGAAACCATGTTTTCTGCTTTTAGAATTCAAAGATCACAGGTGAGAATTCACAATTTTTCATAATGGCAAAGAAAACTAACAACTATTAGACAAACAAAAACCAAAACACAAAAACAAAAACAAAAAACCCCAAAACCACCAGCAGCAGCAGCAGCAGCAGCAGCAGCACCAAAACCTCAAAACCAGATGAGTAGAAAATGACAGGGAATAGTATCAGACTAAAAATGAGGGTGAAATTACCTATATGTAACAATCTCAGACTGTGAGTCTTTGGATGATGCAATACTAGATGACTTTTCTCCAATCCAAGAATCAGTGTGAGACAAAGGAAAAAAAGGGGGTAAAAAAGAAATATGGTTCCCTCATCTGGGCAATCAGTCAACAAGACTTCACCTTGCAATATTTGGCAGTAGGAGCTAGGATCACCTCAGTTTTCTAAAAGGATGTGTAACTTTTACTTAATCTTTTATGTTTGTGCAAGCAAAATTCACTTGGTTTGTAAGTAAATAAAGATTGAAGAAGACAGGTGTGTATATAAAAGTGATTGAAAGGAAAAAGATGATACAGAAATGAAAACATTCACTAGACTGATCATTCTGAGCTTATAATCTACAAAATGAAAACATTTTGCAATTATGGAGTAAAGACTGACAAACACCTCTTTAACTCAAAGTTGTAAATAATCAAAGGTTTCAAAAAATTCAAGTTATTAGCCAGGTGTGGTGGGCACTCCTGTAATCCCAGCACTCAGGAGGCAGAGGCAAGAGGATCACTCTCTGAATTTGAGGCCAGCCTGGACTACAGTGAATTTAAGGCTAGTGTACAATACATAGCAAGACCTTGTCTCAAAAAAAAAAAAAAAAACACAAACTATTATATTTTGGTCATGCAAATTCAAGAATCAGAAGTAATGACAAAGCTAAAACCGATTAGAAATAGATATAAAATCTTAAACTATACATTCTAGGTTCATACATGATAGATGAGCAATTAGGTGTAATGAGAAGACATATATACCATCAAAATCATAAAAATGTAGAATAGAAATCTGGGTTTGCTATTGTTAAATTCATATTAAAATTCCTGATGTCATTTTTCACTACTTCTGAAAATTATTTGCAGAAGACTAAGAACTTCATTTCATGGGCACAACAGTAAAAGTATTTGTACCAGACTGGACCCACTGTGGTTCTTCTAAATTCTTTTGGTAGAAGGGACTATATGTTTTTATAATTTTGGCAACCTGAGTTACAAATCTCTAGTCCTTCCTGGGTGACCATTCATACCTTTTCATAGGTCATTCAGTTTTCAACTATTTCTGGCTTAATATGGCTTTTTAAAAAGTACTAGCAGCACTCCATTTCTAAGTTGCACTAAATCACTTGCTCTGTGAGCCTAGACAACATTTACCTAGTTTAAATTCCTTACGTACAAAGACAAGAGTTCTTTAAAAGATTGTCTTAGGAATAGTAACTCCAAAGAACTGCATGCAGGTTGAATATCCCTTAACTCTGAAAACCTAAGCAGCTGCAAACTCCAAAACTTTTGGAGTACTAAAATGATGCCAATGTGGAAAATTCCACATATGACCTCTTGTGAGAGATCAAAACTAACCACACTAAAAACAATGTATAAAATTATCTTTAGGCTATGTTTTTAAGTTGTGTATTAAATGAATTTCATGGCCAGGTGTGATAGTGCATGCCTATAATCCCAGCACTTAGGAGGCTGAGGCAGGAGGATAGCTGTGAGTCAAAGGCCAGCTTGAACTGCATAGTGAAACTCCGCCTCAAAAAGTGGAAAAAAAAAGAAACAAATTTCCTATTTAAATTTGGGTTCTATCTCTAAGATATCTCATTATGTAAATGTAAATATTCCCAAATTAAAAAACAAAATCTCAAATCCAAATTACTTCTGGCTCTAACCATAAGGGAAGCTCAACCTGGACTGTTTTATAACTTATAAATAATTTTTGACTTGTATTCTCTCAAAAGCTCGTCACCACAGTCCGTTAATAAATAAGGACACTAAGGCATAGAGATGTAGATGACTTTCTTCACCTCTCTGGCCATAAATCCTCTGGCTCTTTTCTACACCATACAGTACATGACCAAATTAGGATATTGAGAATATCTACAGACTGCAGTTACAACTGTCTAAAAATCAACTTTCCTGACTCTGTATTTCTATTAAAAGAGCAAATACAGGTTGGGGCTGTAGATTGGTGGTACAGTGCACGTTTAGCATGAACAAGACCATGGGTTCAATGCCCAGCAGTCTCTGCAAAGGCAAATATCTTCACAGTAATCTTATTTTTTAAAAAATCATTATCTTAAAGAGCAAATACTTTGCCAAAGTGTTACATTCTAAAAAACACAAGGGTGCCTGATATACTAGAAGTTATTCACTAGTTACTCAAATGAACCGCCCCACTCCCTGTAATACTCATTTTTCCACTCCTACCAAACCAATGAAACCATTATATTTATCCTCAAGACTGTTTTTTGGCTGTAGTTTTGTTTTGAGGCGGGGTCTCATCATGAAGTTCAGGGTGGCCTTGCACTCAGTACGTCGTCCAAGATGGCCTTGAACTAGTGGCAATCCTGCCTCAGCCTCCAGAGTGCTGGAATTACAGGTATTTGCCACCACATGCAGTTCATGCTCAATATACATTACTACAGAACTACAATAAATTTTCTTCAATACATATCCTAGTGACTTTTACTTCTTCACTGTCAGCACTTTCCTACAGTTGTATGCTGTGACTGAGTATCTACTTTAACATCACAAAATGTTTTGTTACCCTGAAGTACATGTGAGGTAAATGAGCAAAAAAACTTCAATTATCTTTTACATTCAGTGGATGTTCATTAAAAACGATTGATACGTTACTGACTTTCCACAATAGATGTATCTACTTTACAGTTTTAAAAATATTTTTTTTTCAGTTTTAAAAATATTTAAAAATCAAAAGATCTAAATGCCAGAAGCAGGGAGAATAGAAAACATGAATAAACATCAGTAGATAAACATTCATCTCCTAAATCTTTACTGATACTAATCTTTCCTCAGGCTTAAATTTCCTTAAAGATACTTACTATTCTAGTCTCACTCCACCTTCTACCCAAAGACGGATAGGTCTTAGCACTATTTCGTTATGTACAAAGTAGTATTCAGTGAGCCTTTTATATTACGAAAGGCACTGAACTGCACTATAGAAAATATAAGAATTAATATGTTCTAAATACACTAAGTCAAAGTTAGATGCTCCTGACCTCTCCACGCTCCCATCCCAATATTATTTCCCTACCAATGCTCTCAAGACATTTACTCATCATATGAAGGACCTACTTTCGCGTTTGTAGGTTACTTACAATTTCCATGATACTGCGCTAGCGCTCCGACACACATACCACAACACAAAACAAACTTAAGTACCATAGTTGAGAATTTCCATCACCTGACACAGCCATCAATATTTAATTGGTTACATAAGGGGTCGTTTGTTAATTTAAACCCACAGAGGCTTGGGGGTATGTGAATAAGGTATATTTAAAATCAAAATAGGATTCCACATCTCACAGTCTTGGACCTCATCACATTATGCCAGTACCGAATTACGACCCTGGTACAGTTTTTCGGTTCAATATCGTTTTCCGTTTACTCTTACGAGTAAAGCTAAGGATAACTATACTACTAGCAGCACAGTTCACTGCAAAAACCATCCAGGCAGGAAATTTTGTTCAAATGTGCCCGAGTACTTCCCCACTGTCACAGACGCATTTTAAACCCTAAACAAGGAGGGTCTTGCCGTCTCTATGCTGAGCAGAAAGGCCTACGAACCCCGCTTCATCAGTAAAACCAAGTACGACGACCCCTCCACTGAACTTCCATCCCTCGCCCCTCTGATCTCCTTCCTGCCTCGCAGGCCCATGCAGGATTCCTGCTCTCAGACTCTCCAGCGCTTCATTACGAAAGGTATTTCCCAGTCATTTTTTCTTGTTCCTTCCCCCTCGAGCCTCCTTAGGCGCTTCCTCCTCCTCCATCCACCAAGCCCGGCCTACCCCAGCCTTTAGTAGGCCTCAACCCTCATCCATTCCGCCATTGTTATTTACATCGTCGTCTGGGGAAGCTGAACGCTTCACCCCGTGCGGGTGAGACTCCCTGGCAGCGCTCATCGTGGCTGGGATCCCGGCAGGATATACTGAACAAGCTCGCGGTTCTCCTCAGGCTAGGCACCAGCAGCCACCAGCCCCAGCAACGCCGCTCCAGAACGCAGAGCCCCTCGGGCCTTCTCCGCCACAGTCGTCACCGCTGCGGCCGCTAGCCCGCCTCTCGGAGCATTCTGGGAGTTGTAGTTTCCCTTGGCGCTTCATATTGGCTCGAATAAGAGACAGTTTGGTGAAAGAAAACTACAATTACCAGGAGGCCTAGCGGCGCGGCTCGCGCAGAGCGGCGGGAGTGCGCTCGGAGGCCCCGCCTTCTTCGGCTAGTCGCGCCAGCTTTACGGCGGGCTGGTAAGGTGGTGAACGTTATCGGCGAGCTTCGGCGCCCAAGAACGAGGCTTAGAGTGTTTTTCAGTTTCCTGTGAGACCCCGCGCAACCGCAGATGCACCCGTCGTAGCCAAACACCTAGGTTTAATGCAATGCTTGAGGCCTACCCAATGTCCAAAAACATTTTTTAAAATGGCTTCTGTTCTTAGCCTGGTGTGTATGCTTTAGGACCCGTAGACGAGTTCTAGAAGATTTTCATGAGTATCTTGCCATTTTCTCATCGAAGTGAGTTCCTTATAGTGCAGTTTGTAGTTAATTGGCTATTCCTGATCTAGGCTCCGCCGGAGAGCCTTCTGCACCGCGCTCCACAGGGCTCCGTGGTGAAGTCGGAGCGGCCCCCTGTGAAGCTGCGGGTGGACAGGCTTTGTACGGTGGGCCTTCGCTGGGTGAAGTTTATTTCTGCCAGAAAGCCCTGCATATATATTTAAAAGCATAATTTTTGTTGGGGTGAATTTCTCATAACATTAGGCATTTTAAAGTGCACAGTGCACTACCTTCTGCAGCTCTCTTCACCTCTAGTTACAAGGCAGTTATCATCTCCAAAGAAACACCAGGGCCCATCTCCACCGCCTCTCCGCTGCCCGCCCCTTCCAGCCTGGCAATTGCTAACCTACTCCAAAAGGCATGAAAGTATTGTTCTGATACTGGAAAGTAACTCCTAGTTTTAAGATTATGCCTTTTTTTTTGGGCGGGAGGTGGGCGGTGGTACTGGGATTGCACTCTAGGGTTTCATACATGCTAGGCAAGTATTCTACTCCTGACCTGCATCCCAGCCCTGTGCCTGAGTTAGAAACCAGGCCCGAACCTAATCGTCTTGTCCTCGTTCTGAAGCTTTCTGATTTTGATTTTAAAAAAGTTTTTGCTTTTGTTTGTTTTGGAATAAAAATCAGTAAATGATGGCAGCATTTTTTTTTTTTTTTTTTTTTTTCAGTACTGGAGATTGAACCTGGCCACTTTACCACTGAGACACATCCTCAATCTATTTAATTTCATTATTTTAGTTTTTTGGGTTTTTTTGAGGCAGGATCTCAACTGTGCATCGTAGGCTGGCCGTGAACTTGCTTATGTAGCCCAGGTTGGCCTCAAACTCATGGCAATCCTCCTGCCTCAGCCTCCTGAGTTCTGGGATTACAGGCCTGTGCCACCATACCTGGCATCTTTAGTCTTTTGTAAATTAAAAAAAGTTAAATTTTTATTTTTTGAGACAGGATCTTGCTAAATGGCCCAGGCTGGCCTCCAATTCATGATCCTCCTGCCTCAACCTCCTGAGTACCTAGGATTATAGGGCCCCATTCCATGCTGAAAGTACTGTACATATTTGAAATGAATTTCCATGCTGAGGGCAGTCTGTGAAACCATGCTTTTTAGCTTCAGAACTCAGCTATTTTTCTAGTTTGACTGTATACAAATTATCTATTACTGGAAAATTACTATATTCCAGTATTTCAAATGATCACTGAACCATACATAGAATTGTATACCTGGTTCTTTATGCAGTCATAGACCTGTTCCTTTATTTTGGAGGCAGAGGAATAGCATAATAAATAGGATAATATGACAAAAATCTTAATATAGGACCATATTTTTATTTTATTATTATTTTTTGTCTTTTTTAGACAGGGTTTCGTTATGCAGTTCAGGCTGGCCTTGAGCTCACTTTGTAGCCCAGGCTGGTCTCGAACTCTCAACAATCCTCCTGCCTCAGCCTCCCAAGTGCTGGGATTATAGGTGTGTACCACCATACCTGGCTATATTTTTAAAGTATTGCTAAGCAAAGTGCCCCTTAATCTTATTTATGGGGTAAGAATAAACCATAAAAGAGTAAACTAAAAAAAAAAAAAAAAACACCACTTTTACAAAGTACTTGTTCATTTTGCCAGAATTAAAATATTTTGCCTCCTAACTTAATTTTACTAAGGTTCTATAAATGTAATTATAGTGACACTATATTTAAGTTACTCAGTTTTATAGGATGGATTATAGTTCACCTCCATTGAGCTTGACAGACACTAATATGTGCAATTTAGAACTCTCAGCTATAGTAGCAATAAAATGAGATGGCTCAATAGCTTCTTTAGAGTGTTGAAAGGATCCTAAAATAAAAAAAGACTATCAAGGTTTACAGTTACAAACTATAAAATTAACTTTAATTTTATTAATTGGTGAAAGTCTAGAAAAGTGTAATGAGCTAGCAACATGTCTTTTATTTTTTCACCAGAATTGTTGGCACATGGATGACTGTGATCAAGTTACCGTAAAACAAAATCTCAAGCCAAAAAGTAACATAGGAAATAATACAGACTGGATCATTTGATCAGATTTTACTCAGTTCCAAATTCAGAAGGCTATAGGTAAGGATGAAATTGTAATAGAGTATACTTATAATACAGTATAATAGAAATGTAAGGCACAGAAATGCGGCACTGCTCTTCTTTCTTTTCTAAAAACAAAAACATATTTTGTCACAAGTAGGACTACTGAATATACCAGGATTGGGATCATTCATTCATTCATTCATTTCATTTCTGTATCTTCTAGCACAATGCCAGCCACAGAATAGATAATATATAAAGTTTGTACAACCTCAAATATTTTACAATAAACTTTGATTATATATATATACTTACATATATATATATATACTTATATATAATATATTAAGTAAAGAAAACTTTACTAAACATTATTAGAGGGTACATAAGAAAGTGACACTGTTATCTGCCTTCAAAGAATTTAAGATTTAATTGTGACAGTTTGAATTCAGTTTACCACTTAGCAAAATATATCAGGAAAATTTGTCAAAGACTAGGAAATGGCCAAAAGTGATTACCAAGTTATTCTTCAAGGGAATGTTGAATGTCTCTGGACCCTCTCAGGATTATTTGATACTAAATGAGTATACACATATATTTAAAAATATACAGTATATTATTTACAACCACTCTACTGTGCAGTTGTATACCAGCCCCCCTTTTTTTGCAGCATTGGAAATTGGACCCAAAGCCTTCACACTGAATTACGTCCATACCCCACCTTTTCCTTTTTTCTTTTTTAAAAAATTGAAATAGGGTCTTGCCAAGTCACTAAATTGCCCTGGCTGGGCTCAAACTTGCAGTTTTCCTGCCTCAGCTTCTCAGAGTGCTAGAATTACAAACTTGTGCCATCACACCTGGCTCAGAACTTTTTACTTTTACCTAACCTTAATTTAGTGTGCATTTATTAACCTCTCCCCATTCTTCCCTCACCCACTGTTCTTCCCAGTCTCTGATAATCACCATTCTATTCTCAATTTCTATGAGACTAATTTTAAAATATTCCATATTGGAGTGAAGTCATGTGGACTTGTCTTTCTGTGCCAGTATTATTTCACTGTAACATAATGATCTCAAGTTCCAACCACGTTGGCGCAAAAGACAGGATTCCATTCCTTTCTGATGCTTGAATAGCGTTCCCTTCTGTGTTTAGTGGACAGTATACTCCATGTCATTCATGCATCTGATGATGCGTGCTTAGGTTGTCTGTTTTGTGATCACCATGGGAGTGCAGATGGATCTTTGATATACTAATTTAATTCCTCTCCATTATATCCTTAGTTGGACAACTACTGGAGCATATGTTTTATTTTTAGTTTTTTTAAGAACTTCTGTTTTCTGTTTTCCTAATGCCCACCAGCCTTTCTCTGTATCCTTCACAACACTAGTAATCTCCACTTCTTGCTAATAGTCCCTTTTACAGGAGTGAGGCGGTATCTCATTGGGGCTTTGATTTGCATTTCCCTTATGATTAGTGATGTTAAACGTTTTTCCATATACCTGTTAGCCAGTATATGCTTTCTCTGAGAAATGTCTACTAAATGAAATTACACATTTGAAAGTCAGTTAATTTGTTTTTTGAGACAGGGTCTCACTATATAGTTCAGGCTGGCCTGGACTCACTATGGATCCCAGGCTGGCTTCAAACTTGCAACAGTCCTCCTGCTTCAGCCTCCCGAGTGCTGGGATTACAAGAGCGTGCCACCATACCCAGCTCTCAAATCAGTTTAAAAAATTTTTGCTACTGAGTCTTTGGAGGTCCTTCTATATTCTACATCTCAACCCCTTGTCAGATAGAGTTGGCGGATATTTTCTGCCATCATTTTGTACTTTTGATGAAATTTGATTTATTAGGCTCTTTTACAACTTTAGAGATAAAAATTAAGTTTTAGAAAACTGAAAATAATGCACGTTTCCTGCTCTTAATAATGCAAATGATTCCTTTTCTTGGCAATGGAAATAGATTTTGTGCAGTAGAGAATATAAATCTCTGAGTCAAATTCTATAATAAATTCATTTTAACTTCTCACTCCTTTTCATTAATTAACAAATTAAAAGGTCTTTGACATTAAAATTTTTTTTTGTTGCCTTTTGGTGGTGGTACGGAGGATGGAACCCAAGGCCTCATTCATGCAAGGCAAAGAGGCAAAGATTCTACTCCGGAGCTACATCCCTGGGCCTGACATGTAACATTTTTAAGTCATTTTTTTAATATTTATATGAGAGTCATGGTTTTACAATTTTGGAAATTATATTTTAAAATTACTTATACAGATACAAATATTTACTTCTATGTATTTATAAATATATAGAAATTTTTAGAAAGGTACCTACATGATATGGGGTATTTATTTATTTATTTATTTATTTATTTATTTATTTATTTTTTTTTGGTTTTTCTCCGGTACCAGGAACCGAACTCACGACCTTGCGCTTGCAAGGCAGGTGCTTTTGCCGCTGAGCTAAATCCCCAGCCCCGGGGTATTTATTTTTTAAACTAGTATCTTACCTTGTCACAAACAATACATGTACTTCAAAGATATAAGAAGAAAATATAGGGCTGGGGATATAGCTCAACGGCACAGTGCCTGCCTGGCAAGTGCTAGGTTATGAGTTTGATTCCCAGTATAAAAAAAAGAAGAAAAAATTGTAAAATAAAACATTACCCATGAATAATAATCACTGTTAAAACTTTGGAATACAATGTTTCAAGCTTATTTTCTTTTTGTGTTTTATAACTTTTTTCTAAACTAGGATAACACTGTACATATTGACTTAAGCCTACTTTTTAAAAATTTAAGACTCTATAAATGACCGTGTTTTTTATTTTTATTTTCTATTTCATTTATTTTTTTGTGTGACAAGGCCTGGCTGTGTGGTCTGGGCTGACCTCAATCTTGTGAATCTCCTGCCTCAGCCTCCCAAGTGCTAGGATTGCAGTCCTGAGCCACTATGTCTGGCTGATATTTATTTTTTGAATATTGTAGATCAGCATTTCTCAGGAGGAGGAGGATCCAACAAAGTGTAGCTATAATAACTTTGCAGATGACATGTCATTATTTTGGAAGTGAAAGTATATTTAATATACACTAAATCACCAAATATACGAATTGAAATATTTTAATTCTCTGAGTTATAAGAGGTGCCACTCTGTATGGGATTCTAGAAGTCTGTCTGTACATGTTTCATGATAGATGAAATTTTTAAATTGTTGTTTGGTTTGTTTTGTTTTTAAAAAGAGGCTAGCATACAGGTTATTGGGGTAGTTCAGGGTGGGAAGGAACTCAAGACTACAAAGGAAATGAAGCGTGGAATGTCAGTCTAGGAAAGTGGTCTTATCCTGGCTGTTAACATTTAAAAAGCCCCTTGGAGGGCTAAGGAAAGAAAGGCTGCAAATGTCCAGGAGTTCAAATGACTTTTATACTTTTGAACCTGTTATGAAAGCATTTCTTGGAAATCTCCTGCTTCCTCTTCCCCCAAAACAAAACAGTTGGCAATAAATAAATAAATAAACTAGAAAAAGTGTACATAAAGGATGTTACCATAGCTAATTTTAAATTTCTGAGCCATAAGGAATACTTTTTTTCCCCTAAAATGCAGAACACAAAAAGAGAGCTGCCTACTTAAGTCTGAAGAAAAAAAAGAATAAGTAGTTACATCCTTGAATCTTGTAAATTGCTAGTAGCTCAAATGTAGGTACATTTCTAGTTGGAATCGACACTTCTTGATTTTACTGCGCCTCAACTTATTTACAGATAAGGTCCAAAAATTAAAAAAGAGGCAGAGTATTCTGTTGTTAATACAGTATTTGGTTGAGCACATTGTTTTATATCTGTCTCCCCAAAGTAAATTTTTAAAAAATGTTGAAGGACACAAATTATCAATTGTTGTGAAGTTACTCACCAAAAGACCAAGTATGACTTTCGTCATTATTTCTGAAATGGAGGAATGAATGGTGACTTGTAGTTTTCTTCCTTTTAGTATTATGAAGCATCACACATGTTATCTACATAAATAAATAGGCAAAAGTGAAACACTGTTCTGTATAACTAATAGGCACCAAATTTTTTTTCAGAGGAAATCCAAGTTTCTTTTATGGGGTTTAACTCTATTTAACTTACAAACTTTAAAAGTCTTGCAATGTAATGTGAATGTTTTAAATTGTAGTTTCATTTCAGCTATTAATTTGATGTTGGCCAAGTCACCTAAATTCTCACAGAACCAAACCTACTAGTATTCTAACTCTTCCTCATCTCCAATCCTTTGTAATTCTGTGCTTTTTATAAATGTGAAAAGAATGAGAAGAATAAAATGTTTAAAAATAAAGTTTCTGCTGGGTGCAGTGGCTAGTGTCTGTAATCCCACCTACTGCAGAACCTGAGTCAAGAGGATCACTCGAGCCGAGGCTTCGAGTCCAGCCTGGTGCAACATAGCGAGACCTATTTTTGGGGTGGAGGACCCTAAAACTCCAAATCTCAATTTAACAAAAATACGACTGAATTAAAAATTTTTTCTTTTGGCTCAAACCCAGTGCTTTGCTGTTCTACATTTCCAACCCCCAAATGGTATCTTAATTAGCAATATAAAATATAATTTTAGTATAACCAGAAAACTTTATTTTTTTGAATATCATCAGTTGAAATAGACATAGGGAAGTATACACAAATCACAGCTGTATAGCTCATTTATCACAAAATGAATATATCTATGTGGTTGCTGCCTGGGTCAAGGAAATAAAAGATTTTCAGTGCTCCTGAAATCTTCTCACCCAATTACTATGATCTCTTTTTTCCCAAAGGTAAGTTATGTGACTGCTAGGGCATAAATTAATTTATATATTTAAAATATATATAATATATAACTTATATATTATGGTATATATATTATATTTAGCTTCCTCCACATAGTGTTTTGTTTGAATCATTACTGTTAACATGCTACAATGTTTGGTTCATTTTATTTCTATGTAGTAATCCAGTGTATAAATTCACCTATTGACAGATACATGGATTATTTTCCATTTGGGGCTGTTATGAATAATCCTGCTACAAACATTTTTTTGTATTTTTTTATATAAATGTGTATGCGTTACTGCTGAATATATGCTCAGTGTTGTAGTCAGGGTTTACAAGGGCAAAGATTTAATACAGGACACATAATTTATAGGATTATTTTATAGTATTCAGTCAAAGAGTCAAATACAAAAGAATGTAGGAAGGGCCAGACGTGGTGGAGCATGCCTGTAATCCCAGCACTCAGGAGGCTGAGGCAGGCGGATCACTGCGAGTTCGAGGCCAGCCTGGGCTACAAAGTGAGCTCAAGGCCAGCCTGAACTGCATAGCGAGACCCTGTCTCAAAAAGACAAAAAA